AAGGTTGTATCATCTGCATATCGCAGGTTGTTAATGAGTCTTCCTCCAATCCTGATGCCACATTTTTCTTCATATAACCCAGTTTCTCGGATTATTTTCTCAGCATACAGGTTGAATAAATGTGGTGAAAGCATACAACCTTGTCGCACACCTTTTTAATATTAAACCATTCAGTGTTCCCATGTTCTGTTCGAACAACTGCTTCTTAGTTCAGGTACACATTCCTCATGAGCACAATTAAGTGTTCAGGAATATTCATACTTGGCAATGTTGTCCACAGCTTGTCATGATCCACACAATCAAAAGCCTTTGTGTAGTCAATCAAGCACAGGTAAACATCTTTCTGATATTCTTTGCTTTCAGCCAAGATCCATCAGACATCATTCCACGGCCTCATTCCACGGCCTCTTCTGAATCCGGCTTGAACCTCTGGAAGTTCTCTATCAATGTATGCTCATAGCCGTTTCTGTATTACATGAGGTAAAACTTCACTCACATGGGATATCAAAGAGATTGCCCGATGATTTCCACATTCTGTTGGGTCACCTCTCTTTGTAATGGGCACATATACAGCTCTCTTCCAATCAGTCGGCAAGATAGTTGTCTTCTAAATTTCTTGGCAGAGATAAGTGAGTCCTTCTATGCCGCCTCACTTTCCTGAAAGATTTCAAATTATATTCCATCAGTTCTTGGTGCCTTGTTCTTTGCCAATACCTTCAGTGCTCTTTGGACTTCATCCTTCAGTATCATTGGCTCTTGATCATATGCTACTTCTTGAAACTGTTGAACATTAACCATTTCCTTTTGGTACACTGACTGTATTCCTTCCATTTTCTCTTTATACTTTCTGCATCATTCAATTATTTGTCCAGAGAATCTTTCAATAACGAAAGTTGAGGCTTAAATTTTTTCTTCAGTTCCCCCAGATTGAAAAATGCTTAGCATGTCCTTCCTTTTTGGTTTTCTGATTCCAGATCTTTGCATTTTGTTGTAATATTTGGCTTTATCTTCTCGAGCTGATCTTTGAAATTTTCTGTTCAGCTCTTGTACCTCATTTCATTTGCTTTAGCATCGTTACGCTGGAGAGCAAGTTTCAGTGTCTCTTCTGACATCCATTTTGACCTTATCCTTCTTTATTGTCTTAATGACTTTTTGCTTTCTTCCTGTATGATGTTCATGATATCATCACACAACTCTTCTTGTCTCCGGTTGTTAGTGTTTAATGTATCAAATCTGTTCTTCAGATGATCTCTAAATTCAGGTGGGATATATTCAAGGTCATATTTTGGCTCTCATGGACTTGTTTTCATTTTCTTCAGCTTCAGTTTGAATGTGCATATGAGTAATTGATGATCTGTTCCACAGTCTGCCCCTGGCCTTGTTTTGAATGATGATATGGAGATTTTCCATTGTCTCTTTCCGCAGATGTAGTCAATTTGATTTCTGTGTATTCCATCTGGTGAGGTCCATGTGTGTAGTCGTCTCTTATGCTGTTTAAAGAAGGTATTTGAAATGAGCAAATCTGGTTTTGCAGAATTCTATCATACGTTCTCCAGCATCATTTCTATCACCAAGGCCATATTTTCCAACTAGTGATCCTTCCCCTTTGCTCCCAACCTTTGCATTCCAATCGCCAGTAATGATCAGTACATCTTGATTGCATATTTGATCAATTTCAGATTGAAGAAGTTGGTAGAATTTTTCTATTTCATCCTCACTGGCTTTAGTGGTTGGTGTGTTAATTTGAATAATAGTGGTATTAACTGGGCTTCCCTGTAAGTGCGTGGATATTATCCTATCACAGACAGGGTTGTACCTCATGACTGATCTGGATATGTTCTTTTGATAATGAATGCAACAGCATTCCTCTTCAATTTGTCATGCCCAGCATAGTAAACCAAGGACTTGTCAGATTCAAAATGGCCAATACCAGTGTATTTCTGCTCACTAATGCCTAAGATATCAATGTTATTTGTTCCATTTCATTTTTGACAACATCCAATTTTCCCAGATTCATACTTCGTACTGTCCATGTTCCGATTTTCAATGGATGTTTCCAGCTGTTTCTCTTCATTTTGAGTTGTGCACCATCAGAAAATGAAGGTCCTGCGGGCTTTTCTCCCACGGGCTTTACTCCATTCACATCATCACGGTCAACTCTACTTTGAGGAGGCAGCTCTTTCCCAGTCGCATTTTGAGTGCCTTCCAACCTGAGGGTCTCATTTTCTGGCACTATATCTGACAGTATTTCTCTGCTATTCATAAGGTTTTCAGTGACTAAATCTTCGGAAGTAGTTCGTCACTTTTTGTTCCTAGTCTGTCTTTGTCTGGAAGCTTATCTGAAACCTGTCCACCATGGGTGACCCTGATTGTATTTAAAATACTGGTGGCATAGCTTTCAGAAGCACAGCAACTCACAAGCCACCATAGTACGACAAACTGACAGACGGGTAGGTGCTATAGTATACTTTTAATTATTACTGTAAAAATGCTTTTATGTTTTTGTGTTTACTCTTCTCAACATAGAATCAGGTGTTTGTTTGTTTACTGTGACAAAGATAATTTTCCTTATTTAATATTAGTGCTAGAACCTTATTTAAAATTCAGTACTAAGTTTTCATAATTAGGTATTCTGTGATATTGTTACATATGTTTCTTCCTAGTTTCCTGATAGGGAATTTCTCTTACGCGTATCTTACATGGAGATATACAATGAAACCATTACAGATTTACTCTGTGACACTCGGAAAATGAAACCTTTAATAATTCGAGAAGACTTCAATGTGAGTAGTAGTTAACGTAGATTTATTAGTAAGATTATTGTTCTTGCCTTAGAGTTCTATATTTTTAATAGCATCTCCTGTTTTCAGTGTTTATAGATACCCATCTTTTAAGCAATATGTATAGTTTTAAAATACAGTTGTAATATTTTGGTTTAAGTGCCTAAAAATAGAAAGATGAAAGTATCAGGTTAGAACTTGGTGTGCTTTGAAGTAATAAATTGTCAACTTTATAATTTGCTTGTTGTTTTCCCATAGATTGATAGTACCCTTTCTCTTGCTACAACTTCCATAAGTGAATTCTACATAATAGTGTGTCCCTTCTTTTTGAGATTTAGACTTTTACATGACTTCTGTTTCTCTAATCTTCCCATGATTAAACTTGTATAGAGGAATGTATATGTGTCCGATCTCACAGAAGAAGTGGTGTATACATCAGAAATGGCTTTGAAGTGGATCACAAAGGGAGAAAGTAAGACATCTTTAACATACAGAAACTGACTCTTTGACAGTTTAAGCTTCAAATCACACTTTTACTTTTAAGCTACAATAAAAGCTGATGTTTTTCATTGGATTTCAATGTATACAACTGAAATATGACTAATTTTTTCAGAAAATAGGCATTATGGGATAACAAAAATGAATCAAAGAAGCAGCCGTTCTCATACCATCTTTAGAATGGTAGGTATTTTTTTCTTTATCTCTTTTTATGTGGTCTTTTCCAGTTAAGAATATACTAATTTTTCTACAAATTGCCTTTTCTTTCTAGATTTTGGAAAGTAGAGAGAAGGGTGAACCTTCTAACTGTGAAGGCTCTGTTAAAGTGTCCCATTTGGTGAGTTTTGAACCATGATAGTGAGTCATATTAGCAAAACCAAAGTTTAATTCAGCTGCCAGATGCTTGGCTTAAATAAATAAAACTAAGCAGGAAAAATTAAATACCTCTGCTCCCTCCCTATTTTCTTTTGTGACAGGTTTTTCTCCCAACAAAAACATGGGACTGTATCTGTCCTTTCTTACTTCAAGTTCTTACCTTCAGAGATTCTTTATAGAAAAAGAAAAATCCGTGCTGTGAGTTATGAGCCAGACTGAAAAACCTGTTGAACTGTAATGTTGGCAGTTCAAGCTCACCAGCTGCTCCTTGGAAACCCTATACAAGTTTGCTATGGGTCGGGACCAACTCGACGGCAATTAACAACAACAACAAATAAATAGTAGCTTAACTAATCTTATCAGAGTTGAGCTGTAAAAAGTCAAAGATCTTTTCCTGTTATATTATGACTGCTACCTCCTAAAATGTTGATGTAGAGACAATAAGAACTGAAGCTTTTTCTAACCACTAATGAAGTAGGGTTTTTTTGTTGTGTTTTAATTTTGTATACGTATTGAAAAAAATTGAAGTGATCATGGGAATCAACAAAAGCAGAGTCAACAAAAGTTTAGGTTGGAAAGTTAAGAAAAATAAATCATATTATGAGAATTCTTTCTTAAGTACAAAAAGAAAATAAATTTTATATTGTAAATATATTTTTTAGACTATAAATCCTGTAAGGAAATAGTGATATTTGTTTATTCAGCTCAAACACATTGGGCATACTTTGTGTTCAATAGCTTAGTGAATATAAACATTTTGCAAGGTTTGTTTTTCCATGTAAGTTAGCCTTTCCCATTTTCTTCTTGCTGTACTATATCATTGTTCTCTCTCCATTTTCCCTTCCTACCCTTATTGCTTTCTTCTCCATTTTTAGGGCCTGGATTCTATTTGATTTGGAAAATTTAGAAAATTGTGGGATGACAATATCCAGATTCTCTCAGCTCAGCTCCTTTCCTGTCCTGTTCTGTGCCATCTTTTCTCCTAACAAAAACAGAGAATGCTCTCCATCCTGTCTTATTTCAAGTTCTTGCCTTCAGACATTTTGCCATCATTTTTATGTTGATAATTGCCAAATACTTGTTTTATCTAGACTCTAATTCGTGTCTGCCTAAGAATTGTTATAATTGCCCCTCTATTAGCTCAAATTCCAGTGTATCTGAAATCAAATTAATTTCTTCCTATCATAGTGAATCATCCTTCATTCAGGCAAAACTAGCATTATTCTGGTCACCTAGGCTGGAAATCTATATTTTGGCTCATCTTTCTATGCCTAGTCAGTTCCCATTTCCTACTGATTCCACCTTAGAGTTTTTCCTTAGTGCCCTATTCATTAAAGTTCTCCACTCGTGAATTACTACATCAATCATCTGGAAACTGGCTTCTGTAGCTTTTGTCTTCCTTCTTCAGTCCATCAGACACACTGCTAATATTATCTAAGCACCGCTTTCATTATGTCATTTCCCTACACAGGATCTGGGTACTCTTAACCACTCTTATGTAACTTCTTACTGTTGTTATTGTGAAGTGCCGTCGAGTTGACTCCAACCCATAGCAACCCTGTATAGGATTTCCAAGGAGCAGCTTGAACCGCCAACCTTGCAGTTCAAACGGCTTTGCAGTCTGGTGCATTAGCCCACAGTGCCATACCAGGACTCCATTACATATGAATTTCTCACCTTTAGATAGGTTGGATTTCTTAGTTTCTTTGATCACAAATGCCCATTGTCATCTTTATGCCTTGTTGTTGTGCCTTCAAGTTGGTTCTAACCCATAGCAACCCTGTGTAGGTTTTCCAAGGAGTGACTGGTGAGCTCGAACCTCTGACCTTATGGTTCAAACCAACTTTGCAGTCCAGTGCATTAACTTACAGCATCACACCAGGAATGTCTTAATGCATGCTATAGTCATCACCAGTTTTCCCCTACTATGCAAGAAAGATTAGAATTTTTTGTGTGTTTTAGAGAAAGATATATCTAAGAGATAAATAAGGAAGAAATCAGGAAAGTGCTACAGGAACAATCAAATAAGATAGATACAGCATTGGAAACAATTCAAAACCTACAGAAAGAGGTCCAAACGGTTAATAATAGAATATCAGAAATGGACCAATAAACTGAAAGGGAAAAAGAGTAGAACTGAAGAGATGGAAGCCAGAACTCGTGAGCTAGAAGATAAATCTCTCAACACTACAAGATAGAAGAGCAAGCAGATAAAAGGATAAAAAAATCTGAAGAAGGCCTAAGATTCATGTTGGACAACATGAAGAGGAATAACTTAAGAATTATCGGCATAATGGAACAGGAAGAATCACACAAGTCCACAGAGGAGATAATTTAAGAGCTTCTGGTAGAAAATTTTCCTAACATCATGAAAAGCGAAAAATAAGCATTCAAGAAGCTCAGTAAACGCCAGGAAGGATGGATCATAAAAGAAAGTCACCAAGACATATAATAATCAAGCTCTCCAAAATCAAAGATAAGGATAGAATACTGAAAGCTCCTAGAGAAAAGAGAAATGTAACATACAAAGGCAAGCAAATCAGGTTAAGCTTGGATCTGTCAACAAAAACCATGCAGGCAAGAAGCCAATGGGGGGACATATATAAAACCCTGAAAGAAAACAACTTCCAACCAAGAATCCTCTACCCAGCAAAGCTGTCAATCAAATACAGTGGTGTAATCAAAACATTCCAAGATAAACAGAAGCTAAGGGATTTTGCCAAAGCCAACCCCGCTAGGAAAAACATCCTAAACGGAGTTCTGTGGACTGAGAACCAATAAGAATAGACAACATCAACCCAATCAACAAATGAAAGAGTCAAAGGCAATAAAATTATAAGAACAGAGGATCTGGGAGGTCAGTCTATGATCAAAACAATCACAATGTGGAAGAAGATAAACACAGAGGAAAAGAGATCAGGTGGTGAGAAGGTGAAGTAGATTACAGGATAAAATAGACTGTCTTAAGTGGAGGGAAGAACTAATGGAATATAAGGTAACCACAACAGTGGGGTTCGGTGAGGGGTTTAGTTCTGGTGTCGGGGAGGGCAATACAGGAAGAGGGAGAAGGTGGAAGAGCAAGATAGATAGGGGAACACTGAGACAGGTTTACATGGCCTAAGTGGGGCAGAGGTAAATAGTGATGCATGTTCAACCTTGAAACAACAGGGCTCTGTGATACAGGGATCTAGGCATAGTTTGAAAAGGGGATATAATACTAAAATGCTTGCCTGTCTTATAAATATTGGTTTCCCTTGATTACTATCATAAAATAGACACTTGAGTGGGATAGAAAGGAATGTTGGGAAACATCATTACAGAAAATTTATAAGCCCATCTTCAGCCTGTAACTGATTGGAATACCTACCAGGGGTTCTAGAACTTGCCCAGTGAAATAGGCCTCTTGCAAAGACTTTGAAGAGTATAGAACCTTATTTGGAATCCTGAGTCCCATCCAGAACCTTATGAGGTGGGATATTCCCACTAGCAAGTACAAGCAGATCAGCCTGGAACAGCTAGAGCTAGAGAAGATACATCTTCAAAGAAAGATCATCAGTAAAAACACAAAACAAAAATGTCAGCAAGCTGTTCTCTAGGAAGCCATCAAGTCAAGCAATCAAGTTCCTTCAGGACAAACTCCCCTCTAAGACTTAAACTTAAAGGGAACACATGAACAAGCATGTAAGCTTGCTGGCAAATACATTGGTCTACTGGTGCGTGGAAGAGGAGGAAAGGCAGCAATGAAATATGGGCTGAGTTCAACCACAGTCCACTGACCCCCGTTTACCTGGAGATGAGAGACAGAAGAGGGAAGACTGGTTGGTCCAAAGTGTGGTGAGGCCTGGGGACACTTGAGCACATGGACAAGGTCATAGCCACAGAGGGCTAGAGCTGAGAGTGAAGCATTCAGCTGATATGAAGTGAAGGGAGATGCACAAGAACACCCAAACTTGCAGACAGTACCCATTTGACCTAGCTTTGATGGCTTGATAATCAGTACTCGACTAGAGGAAGATTACAAAAAAAAAAGGTTAAATTACTACAATTTGATGAGCCTGACCTATACTCATATGTAGCAACTCTAAATACCAACAGAGAGGGAAGGAGTCTTCACATCAAGTATCAATGCTATCCCCTCTGTACACGGGAAATAGGGATGGGCAATTTAGACATTGGCTACCTAAATTGAGGGGGCAATAAAGGCATGAAGTGACTG